TAAGGTCCCATGTTAATTCTAGATTTGAAGCTTTCGTGATTGCAAGGATTCATACGCTTAGGTTTTTTAGGTAAAGTCACGTAGGTAAAAATAAATAATAAAATTACATAAGTAATAGAAACAAAATAATAAATCACTGATTGTGATAATAAAATGTGATTTATTATTTTGTTTCTATTATTTATTTTTACCTACGTGACTTTACCGAAAAAACCTAAGAGTATGAATCCCATGTTAATGTTCAGATTGTTAGTTTTTAATATTACAGGAGTGGGATATTTTATATAATCCATGATGTTAAACCCCAGAAAACCGACTGTCGTTGAGGCGACGGGAAAACATCCACCAGAGAGAGAGATATCCTCCCCATGGCTCGATCGATAACCCTTAGCGCTGAAAAGGAGAAATCGAGAGCTGAGATACTTTAGGGTATAAACTGGCACATCCCTCCAAGAATACCCAGATCCTTTTTTAAACGCGAGACCCACAACGCTTCTGTCATTAAATGCAGATAGATCCCCGCCAAACGCAACGGCTTGGTGAGAACCCGACAAAAATTTTTAATTAGTCGAGAATAACTAACGGAATGGCAAAATGTAACAGCCCGAGATGCAGCATTAATAGTCGCGGTGTTTACCTTTACACCGTGGGCCCCACATTTTTATTTTATTTAAATTTCATGCTTCTTTTGCAAGCTAGTATTACATACCCTTTAAACAATATATTAATCTACCTTTTAAAATTTTAAATAAATAGGTTTTAACGAGCAATAACAGCGTACTTTCCAAACAAAACCTTGTCGATTTTATTTAGTTTGTTCAATAAAAACGTATTCGCACGCGCGGAATTGTTGGTGCCTTCTGTGACGTCACTTCCTGCGGTCGGTACCTCCTTGGCACGTTGGGGAATAAATCAGCGCGCGGCTCCAGGGCCCACAGGGCGGCATGGGGTCATCAACATCACCGAGATGAAATAATAAAATAATAAAAATAAAACATAATAAAATAATTCTCACGACGTTTTGGCTACAACGCAAGCAGCCGTCCTCAGGTGAAGAGGACGGCTGCCGAAACGTCGTGAGAATTATTTTATTATGTTTTATTTTTATTCTTTTATTATTTCCCTTCTACGTGACTTTACCGAAAGAACCAAGAAGATGAATCCCTGCAGTCACGAAAACTTTAAATCGAAAAATCACCGAGAGGGTTGTGTGGATTGGTCGTGTCGGTGAAATCACCATTCACGTTCCTCCCGTGGATGTCCTCTAGCCCTTCTCCTTCTTTAAGCGGCGTGTTTTGATTGTTTTGATTTAGTGTGCTGATCTTAAAGGTGTATTGAACAATTATAATACTCTGATTGATGCTCCTGCTGTTGTGGAGTGACTCATGCAGCCAGCTATGGCTGCAGGGTTTTGGTAGTACATGTTGTTTGTCGTTTATTGTGAAAATTCCGTCACAGTTCCTATGACCACTGTTTCATTGCTTTATTTTGGTGATTTCGAAAAGTTTACTGGTGTGGCCATGTTTGTTTGTTGTAGTACGGAGTAAGACTGATGGCCTTAATCTAAGTTGTCTTGTGGTTGTTGTTGTTTTGACTTGCATCCCACTGGGATTTTTGCATACAGCGTTGGTGTACGGTGTTTTTTTCTACAATATTTTGCTGTCTTTTCTTGGATTTTCTGTTTGCACTTAGTCACATATTCACTTTAAGATGTTTTCTTGTTCATGTTTTTGTTTGTTGCGGTTGCACCCGATTCAAGAGCCGAATGGCTCACAGGGCTATACCTAATAAATGAACTTGAACTTGTGTCCTGCACAAGTCCCACTCGCTTCTCCTAGCTTTGAATGATGTCAATTCCATCTTGCCTGTTGTGATCTCCAAATCCGTGGGGTTTGTTATTTTCTACCTCTGGGTTGCAATATGATGCGTGCATCTGCTCAAACATCTTGTAATTATTTTTATACATTTATTGGGGCACCACGGTGGCTATGAGATGTTAACTACCTCGCCTGGTGTGCAGGAGGTCGTGGGTTTGATCCCGACCCTGACGCCTGCTGCTGTAGATTTGGAGTTTGCGTGTCTCATGATCACGGTGGCTAGGAGATGTTAACTCCCTCGCCTGGTGCACAGGAGGTCGTGGGTTCGATCCCGACCCTAACGCCTGCTGCTGTATATTTGGAGTTTGCGTGTCTCTCATCATCATCACGGTGGCTAGGATATGTTAACTACCTCGCCTGGTGTGCAGGAGGTCGTGGGTTTGATTCCAACCCTGACGCCTGCTGCTGTATATTTGGAGTTTGCGTGTCTCATGATCACGGTGGCTATGAGATGTTAACTCACTCGCCTGGTGCACAGGAGGTCGTGGGTTTGATTCCGACCTTGACGCCTGCTGCTGTATATTTGGAGTTTGCGTGTCTCCCTCTCCCCGTGGTCGCGTGTATTTTTCTCCAGGCCCTCCGGTTTTTTCCTTTAACATTTAGAATCAACATCACGCGTTGAGAGTACTTGGCTGCTATACATTTCCACATCATGATAAGCCACTTCGTTGAGCTATTATCATTATGTGGCCAGGTCTCTTCTGAAAAAATTGGTAATAGAGCTCAGTGGACCTTACCTGGTAAAATAAAAACAAGTTTATTGAATGGCCATGTTTCTGCATTCTATTATGGAGTTAAGCACCGACTTAAAACGCTGCATATGTGCGTTTTTTCCCCTGCCTGTTATTACATTGGAATAACTTAGACAACTTTTATTAATGTACTTGTTCGTATGCTAAGCCAATTACATCAGTCTTGTTGGAACCCACGTGTACGAGTTTAAACTGTACTCGAGTGTTACTACTCGGATTGACTTGCGGTAGTTTGCAGTACTCTACCGCCACCTGCAGGCCTGATGAGGAATTGCATTTTAAAACGTCTTTATATGACTAGTTTGTAAATTGGCCTACGAATGGTTACATACAAGTAGCTATTGAGTAACAGACAAGCTAATTTATATTAAGATAAATGTTGCTCGCATATTTGTGCCTGTGAGCACAAGGTACAATGGTCCATCAGAGTGCAGGGAAAACCCCAAATACCCACACCAGGGGATAATAAATCTGCTTTTGTAACTGCCCTGATTGTGTTCGGAGCAACTTCTGTAACACCCCCGGCTTTCCACTTTTGATCGTCATTAATAGCTCGGAGTACACATCACCGTGTTATCACACTCAATGGGATTGACCCCATTGATTCGATAATCCATTTCTGTTCTCCCATCTCGCACCCCAAGCCTCCATCACCAAGGTTCACTTGGCTTTGAATTTGCACCATGGATCACACGAGGAGTGACTGCAGTATGCTCATATTTAAAAACAAAAGCAGAGACAGAGAGACTCATGGAGAGATCGATTCTTCTTCGGTTCCCGTCTAAGCAGCAGCTCCAGATCCAGGCGATCTCTGCAGGCAGGGTACAGGAGGGCACTGCTTGTCTGCTGTGTTGTGACTAACAAAGCTGAAGTTGATTGTAATCTGGTATAACCTGTACTGTATCTCGAATCCACGTTTCCTCTATCTTAATGTAAAGTACGCATCTCTCCATGCTTATTTTGTGCACTCTTCAGCTTTTGTTCCGAATAGGAGGTAGTGTGCAAATGATACGCTAATATAACTTCCATTACCATATAATTTGCATTATTGGCATAACATTAAAAACAGCAGCTATAAACATGAATTGATGAGTTGAACTCCACCCCCTTACAGCTGTACCCCCACGTAAACCTCGTGCGATACAGCCAGCATAGTTTCGGGGCCTCCTGCCCAAAGACCTAAGTAAGACACACTACCAGCTCATGTTCGGGATCCATCCCTGAGTCTGAGCTAGTTCTGCAACAAACTCAAAACCGTGTTTTTTCAGAGAGCCTACTTCAATGTGTGTTCAATGCGCACTCGTGGTGGACTGAACGCATCAGAGTGCACAATAACAAATGTTATTCTGACTGGTGGCTGTGCTTGGCAATTGTAGGCTCGAATGAGATATTGGGGTATATATATACACAATACTATTGTTATACTCTATGCACTAGGGATGAGTTTTGGTTTTTTTAAATGGAATTTCAGATTTTCAATCTTTGAATATTGTTACATTTTCTAAATTAATGTACTACTGTATAGTAAACTAAATACCTTCGGCAGGCTCCACATGAACACACTTTAGCATTGTCCAATAATGACATTTAAAATGTGCACATCAATCAAAATAGCGCATAGAACTTTGGAGTGACATGAGTGAGTTAAAAGTAAAAAGTGTTACCAGTGAGAATATTCCACCAGATTAATGCAGCCAAGGTGCATGCAGCGATGGATGTCATTTGTGGGTCGTTTCAAAGTTTTATGCCTCAATTTGCCGCAGGTGTATGAACTGAAGTCACGGCCCGTATTTGGACCGTGAGCCGGAGATCCTTCCTAATAATATTGTATCAAAAAACGATTCACAATGAGGCAAAATACAGAAAATAAAACAAGTACAGTAATCTGAAACCACAAAAATCATGCCGAATTAAAGTACAGTATGCCGTTAAAATGAAATGGCCAATTAATAGAACGTACAGAATTCTGTAAATCCATTATAAAAGATACATACAGACAGAAAACATGATTTGAGATAGGAGCAGGATCTTCCTGTCTCCTCTCTTTGAGGATTTGCAATACCCAGACCTGTGTTTGAATATTCATGACCCATGTGCATTCATGACCCATGAAAGTCACGAAACCTCACCTGCCACAGACACAGGACAGACATTGTGAGCAACATGGTGGGTTTCAGGAAATTGTATTTATTAATGTAATAATCCTGTGTTATTTTTAACACTATGACAAAATGGTGAATATTAATTCACCATTGTGTACCAATTATCGCAGGCTTATTGCAGGTTCTATGGTGTGTGGTAAATGTCTTTTACATAGACAGAATGTAACAACTCGACACATAACATATAGATATTCACACAATCCATGGAGTGATATTTCAGTAAATGGTAATGTTTTATTTTGGTACCCACGTTTGTACTGCAGAAAGAATACTGGATTAATGAATTATACATAATAAACATAAAACCACCACAATGAAGTGTGTTTTGTGGTTGCTTTATGTTTAGTTTGTTGTCCCTCCTCCGCATCTCCGATTAACACGGCTGGCTATTAATGGTGCGAAGAAGTCCAACAGGTACAAAGACAAAAACTATACCAGCATTAAATTTCCTTTTGCTAAGCACTGTCAATTTCTAGTGTCTTAAGTGTTGGCATTTAGAGACATCTCACCACTTGCAACAGTAAATTTAAATTGGTTAAAATGTATGAATACCATTTTTTACTATGTTTCATCCCTTGTAACCTTAGAAAAAGCCCACAAATGGTAAAAACGAAAGTGAGCAAAACTGATAAAAACGTAAGATAAATTTTGGTGAAGGAATCCTGACACACCTGAAACTAAGCACATCGCATTTTAATTTTCGGCTGGAAATTCCCACGCTGGATGTAATGGCTGTTTAGTGCTCTCAATCTATCATTCCTCCAGGGAAGAGTACCACTTTGTTGGTAATCACATGGATTTCCTATTGCAGGGGTGGGCAAACCATTCATTACCGAGAGCTGAATATAACTTTCACATGTAACTTTTTTGCGCCACACATTAACAGTTAATTCAGTCACTGCAAGATGCCATCGGGAATGTGGAATTTATTACATGGGTTTCAAGGAGATCGTCACAGATTCACCCCCATTGCTTGCTTGAGCAATGAGCCACTTTGTACGGGATTCACATCTTGGGTGTCGGTTTGTCACATTTCTAGCAGTGGACACATCAGAATGGTTTCACAAAAAAAGGCACAAAAAGGGATGTTGACCAACAAGAATTGAGCCCTCTAACCTCCGAGTGCTCTTAATGTCAAGAATTCCCACGAATCAATTAAGAAATCAACTGCTTATTTTACTATCCTATAAAAAAAAGTTAATGCAACGGGATCACCCATTATACCACTACTTCGATAAGTAAAATGTGCAATATGATGCGAGTAACATTATTTTTCTTAGCAAGAATTTGAGCTCCATTATTTCAATGAAAAATATTGATTAAAATGTAAATCTCACAGGAGTTTGTTCAAAGGTACACCTTAAAAAAGCCCATGATATAGGAATGGTCTTCAAATCCAAGTGCTAATAGAGCAAATTTGACTTGCTGCAAAATCAGAAATGTTAAACATGGGGCATCTGGATTATATGCAGCCCCACCCACCACCATCTTTTAGCCGCCCTCTTCTCCTACAGCTTGCGGAGGTCATCCTTCACCTTGGTGAAGAGGCCACGCATCTGCACAGGAGACACGAGACACAGGGCGCACACGCTCACTCACAGCGACACTCGGCACAGCCGTGCAGGGGTGAGACATCGCAAGGTGGACACCGTCACGGGGTGGATGCCACCATGACGTGGTATGTCACGAAGTGGATGTCATCACGAGGTAGAGCGTGTGCTGTGCACCAGGGCTCTGCGCAGAGGCCTGCGGACTTCAAGGTTCATTCCATCATCCGTCAGCCCATGTCAATGTAGATCTCATTCCAGGCTCAGATGATTAATTCCATGGCACAGGTTGAAGGCTGCCCTTTTGGTGAACCCAGCGCTGGACTGAGACCCAAATCAACCCAGTTGGCTAGAGCAGCCGATGAGCGGTGTTGGAAAGTTTATTTTGGCAATGATTTTTAAACTAACTTAGAATACCTTGAAATGCATGTGCATTATGTACACAATAGCAATATGACAATGTTTATTGATATTAAATGGCTGCCGTTTTAAATTAAATTACTAATTTTTGATTAGTTTTGTTTAAGTAAAAGTAATCAGCTCAAATAAGCAAAGTAGCCCTAATATAATTACACTCTGAAACCAGAGTAACAATAAAGTCATCAATCAGCCTGGGGTAGCCTGATCACATGACTGCCTGTGGCCCAGTGCAGGCTGGACAAGATTGTTGATTAGACCCACGGGTGCGTGGGTCATTCCTACGACGCACAGCCACGTGGCGGACGCCCCCGGCGCTAACGAGAGACGTCCCGAGCCGGGAGTCGCACCTCCTGGTCGACGTTCAGCAGCTGCAGCAGCCGCTTCCCGTCGAAGTTGGCGAACTTCTCACCAAATTCCTCCAGGCCGTTCACCTTCAGCCAGAGCTGCACATCGGCCCTGCTCCAGCCTACGGCATGGGGGCAGCCATAGAAAGATTATCCCAACCATCGAACAAGACGGTCACTGCATCGCGCACTTTCAAATGCGCTACTGTGGCTGTCCGGAATGCTCTTGCTTTCCATATTCGGAAGCCACTGGTGCTATGCACTTTTAAATCTAGATTGAAAACTCATTTCTTTAGAACTGCTTTTTGTGTTCAGTTCTTCCACCTCCGATTAGCATGATTGGCTATGTACACAGTGTGAAAGAAGTTCAACGCACATACATGCATCCTGTATCACCAGTTGTTTTGTAAATATTGTGAATATTTTGTATGCAACTGTAACCAAGTAGACCATTTCTGAAAGGCTGTGGGGGCGTTATGGGGAGCCAAGGGGGGTGCAGAAAAATCCGCTGGTGTATTGTACTTCTAGGCTCCCACATCCATGCTCCACACCTACACCAATCCGCACTGACCAGTGTGGTGAAGTATGGTCAAACAACCACCATGGCCTGTGTGGCATGGCAAGGCCCTCATCCAGCAGTGCACTGACAAAGGGCTTTACATGTACAAAGTTGTTTGGTATCCAATTAATCCCCTAAATCAACAAGCAGCTCATAATGAACACAACCAAAGTTTATTTGTTAAAACTCCCACACTTTTCACAATTTTATTCTGTTAAGTGCAGTTTTTATGAATAATTGTCAGTTGAAAAATTGATCAAATGGATAATAAAATACATCCTTCTATAAATGCCTATTATACAGTACTAACAAAGATGGAAAAATTATACTTCATATTATCTATATGGCGGTACCCCGGGGTACCAAATAATACAAAATGGCCAAGGCAATTAAATATTTTATTACTGGGACACTATTTTTTCAAGGGGTGTACTTAACTCCGCGACTGGGGTACTAATCAATCCGAAATCAGTGCTACTCCGCGATGATGAAACGCCAAACTGCATAAAAAATCTGTTATCAAAAAATTCTACTTTGAATAGTGCATCGTGTACAGCTCGTTGAGATGAGTCGATTGCCGCATAGCCAACCATCAACAGACTAAAAATGACTGCATCACGGATATTATGCGAGGTTCATATTCTCTTAGAAGATTGCATATTAGACTTGGAAAGTTTAAGGTAAAAAACAAATGAAAGTTATAATCACGAGGCTCCAGTAAAATCAATGAATAATTCACAATGCACAGTGGCAGTAATTGCGTAATATATTTTTTGTAAAAAACTAAGTTATTCAACATGTACGTACACATTACGATGCCAATACTTGAGTTATTGTCTAACTGGAAGTTATTTTGATCTTAGAGATGTATTGCAACCCAAAGACGCCTTGTAGAGAGGTACCTCGGGCTGCATGCTCTGGGCATGTTCCCAGCTTTGGCTTTCACCCTTTAGTCCATCTCGACCACCAGCCGTCATCCCTTATAATAAATAATGGCATGCCCTGCCCTATACCACTTAATTTTGAAACTTGTGTATGCTCGCTAATCCATGCGTTCCTCTTTTTGTGTCGGTGTTATCAGTGTCATTCTTCGCACGCAATTTAGCTGTTCCATTTTTTTTAATCAATGTCCATATTTACAAGAGGTACCCCAAAATGTATATGAGACGGAGAGTCAGACAAGGAGACACGCTTTTCTAAAAGCTGATACACGTACTTCATGGAGAAAAAAAAAATTAAGCGTTGTTTTGGCACACTGCAGTAAGGTGTTAAAATGTAAGATCGAGAATGAGCAAGTGACATCACTACAGTACATCTAACTGTAACTTAAAATTATGTTTTACTCACACATGAAATGTATAACCTCTGCTTAGACAGACTGGGACAGCATCGGTACATATCTATCAAGCGATAAGTTTATTTGTGTTTTGACTTGTGTCTTTAAACAGGGCTATTAACTAACAACGCTGTGTAATTCACACTTTTACCCAGCTAAGCTTTGCTCAATATTTGGCAGAAGGCAATAATTACCATTTCCAAGCTTGAGGAGTTGTCTCTTCCCATCTGTTATTTCAAGAAAGTAAACACGTATTAATCTTCAGTTATTTCAAATGGCAATTAAAATACAATTTTTCAAACATAAAAATCAATCAAGTTACACTCAATGATTAACCCAGCTCAATACTGTAATTACCAAACTAAATAACTCGGGAAACTTAAAAAAAACATTTGAATATATTTTTCTGAAATTTTTTTACCTGGAGACAACTTTAGATTCTTGTTGGCAAGATGCTTGAGTTCATTTTTCTCAGCATCTCCTTTGAGGCACTGCAGTGAAACATCAATCAGCTCATTTAGACTTCATCAGTGGCAACAAAGTTGTCTGCATAAGCGACTGTGATCTGGCGCCTACTCAATGTGGTGTGTACTTGGCCTCGTCTGTGTTGGAAAGTAATTGTCACACCTCAGGATAGGACTCAGTTTCTCTTACTCGGCAACACAGTGCTCAGCTACTTCACCATCTTATGTGTTGCTTTTACTGCCCTCACCTGGACCATGATGTCGTGAGAATTGAGAGCTGTACTTTAACTCCCATACCTAGCTCATGATGTCCTGAGAATCCACAGTGCTGTTTTAAGCTCCCTCACCTGGCCTGCACTTTGCACCATCGACAGGACCGCTCTCTTGAGCCTCGTGAGCGGCCTGGGCTTCGGGTCATCCTCTCCTGCGGGACATCACACGCACGGACAAGGAGACATCACACAGATGCCATAACAAACATCAATGAGGGGAGGGAAAGACGGCAAGTGACTTGTACTCATTGTGGAACCAAATGTACAGTGGTACCTCGGTATACGTCGTTAATTCGTTCCAGAAGGTAGGACTAATACTGAAAATGACGTATACCGAACACATTTTCCCCATAAGAAATAAAGGGAAAGGAAATAATCCGTTCCAGAGTATAAGAAATGATATTTTATGTGGCATATTATACATTAATGGGGTTGTATAAAACAATTTAGACACTAATTACTAAAGTGTATACAGAAGCCACGTGACCGCGCTGCTGCCAGCTGCGCTGGTCACGTGGCGTGCCTCAACTCCGAACGTCGCGCGCCTCGACCCGGGGCTCCACTCTCCATGGGGGCAGCCCCCCACGCCCCCAGCCCCTCTCCCCCCCGCCCCTCTCCCCCACACCACCCTGCCCTTCTCGCTTTGTTTCAGTCGTGAATGGGGTCTACGCGGGTACTGTACGCGGTGACTCATCCCGACCCATACAAGTTCTAGCAAGCGAGTCGTATCCCAAGCAAGACGTCGTATCCCAAGACATTTATCTCTCGTAAAAACACGACGTATACCAAATTCGACGTATTCCTAAGTGGTCGTATATCGAGGTTCCACTGTAAATGGACGTACAACTCATGGCTCGCTCTCACACATGCAAATGGGCTGAGTTAGCACGCGGCATTAGGAAATGTCACCACTCGCACCACCTCACACCTTACTGACGGAACTGGAGTGAGAATTGAAACAGGCGTATCCATCCGGGTTTTGACAGATTTTAAATATAACACGGGATTATGACCAAGAGTGGCGATGCTGGTCTCAGCCACTGGGGTTAACAGGGGCTGAATCACACAGCATGATGATGGTTGTGGCAAATAGAGAAAGAGACGAAGGCAACTCAAGATGCGGATGACAAGCACAAGAGAAGATGCAAGCAGTGACTCGGATAAAACTGTGGAGCTGACGATAACGAAGGAGCTGGACACGATGATTTTAAAACCGGCCAGACGTGAACACCGCTCGCGGAGGATGTGCGCGAGTGCAGTGAATCGTGGCCGCGTCTACCGACCTCCACGGATGATCTTGAGGATCTCGCCGTCCTGGGCCATGTTCTGCAGGATCCGCGTCGCGTGGATCTCGGCCGCCGCGTCCTCGCATTTCCGAGCGACGCGGCTCACAACGGGGACGGCACCCGCCTCGTAGGTCTACATGGGGAGAGACGCGACAGTCTTCTCTGCACTCGACACACGGCCTTATGCTGCTTCCTCAAAATACTGGGCTAACTCTCAGGGATTGGGTGCCCTGTGCTATCTGTTTTATTTCCCTAACCCTGTTACATCCATTTAGAGCTTGTAATTTTCTGTGAGCTCAACAATGTACAGTGATACCTCGGTTCACGAACGCTTCGGTTCACGAACAACTCGGTTCACGAACAAAAAATTTCATAAAAATATGCTCCGGTTCACGAACTCCGCTTCGGTTCACGAACAGGAGCCGCGGCCATTTTTATGCTAATTCCAGGCTGTCACATGGTCGTGACTTCCTGTAGGAAGATCGTGGAGAGAAGCAGAGACACAGAAAGAAGTACTGTGAGTACTGTGAAGACACTTTCTGTGACTTTTTGATTTTTGGTGTGCTTTTTAGCACATACAGTACTGTACTACTGTACTGTACAATACTGTACTTACTGTATTGTACAGTTCACCCGTTTGAGTGCTTACTGTACTGGACTCCCAAACAATAACCACCTCCCACCCGCCTCCCACCTGCCTTCCTCCATGCCAGAAGTCATCTCAAGCAAGGTTAGTGTTCTCTCTTTATACATTACTGTAGTACTGTACAGTACAGTAATGTGTATTGTCATTTGTTTCATATTTTTGTGCTTCAAAAACCAAAAAAAAAGGTCAGAACGGATTAACCGGATTTACATTGAACCCTATGGGAAAATGTGCCTCGGTTCACGACCAATTCGGTTCACGACCAGAGTCAGTTCACGAATTAAGTTCATGAACCGAGGTATCACTGTATATTGATAATACGCTTGCTTGTTTCTGTCTGTAACACACTGGATGACATCACGCGAGATTGGGGTGAGGTGGAGGAGAGGGGTGTTCAGAAGAGGAGAGGGATGAGATTGGGGTGATCTGAGAAGAGCTTGATGATGTCATGAGACGTAGGTAGTGAGAAGGGAAGCTTGATAACATCACGACACTGGTGAGCTGCAGAGGGGTGATGACATCACGCGAGATTGGGGGGATGTTGTGAGAGGGGGTGATGACATCACGTGGCACTGAGGTGGGGGAGAGGTGTGATGACGTCAAGAGACGCTGAGAAGGTGACAGGGGTGATAACGTCTTGTTTTTTCTGGGGAAAAATAACCTGTGTGTTGGCCGTGTAAAACCAAAAACAAACAAGTTTTAACACGTTTGGTCCTGTTCCTTCTGACAAACAGAAAGTCCGTGCGTCCATTCAGTTCAATTGCAGTCGCAGTGGGTAGAGCGTACAGCCTCAGTGTTTCCTCCTACTAGAAGATTCTTGTTCGTGTCTGTTTCTCTAGTGCTCTTTTTCAGTGTTTACTGCAAACAATTGGATGTTTTATTTTGTTCTTATTGATATTTTTATCAAAACAATGTATTTGAATTAAATACAATCTTGAATAACAGCAATTTATTTTCACCATATATATGAAAAGTCAATATTCGAGTTTATGAACTCATCAACCTCTGTACATATTCGCCATTCCTTATTCAACGTACGTTCTGGGGGTTCTTGATAGTTTATATTCCTGTAAAAAGTATGCAACGAGCAGGAACCCGCGGGACTTCCACCGTAAAAGGATGGCGAATATGTAGACCGATGTCATGAACTGATGATTTGACGTGGAAATATATTTTTTTATGCAAGCCAAAAATAAATTACAATTACTCACCCCCTCTCCCCCACCCTCACCCAAATTCTGCATGACGTCATCAACCTCTTGTGCTCACCACTCCCGCATCTCTCTTGATGCCATCACTCCCTCTGCTCCACCTCACCCGTGTCGCGTGACGCCATCAACCACTCTCACCACCCCCGCGTCTCGTGACGTCACCCCCTCTCCTCACCAACTCACACCGAGTGCGTGTAACTAACGTGTGTGTACAGCCACCAGCTGGGGCTGCATGCCGTGTGATGTTTCTGCAGAGAGTGAAGATGCTACGAGTGGCATGTGAGCAGCTCTGCACGCTGTTCATGTTGAAGCTTTGGCCGCGCAATTTCCACGTGTTTACAAATAAATGACTTCCCAATTTCATGGTCCCCCCCAAAAAAAACCTTTAAAGTTAACGCGGGACGTGGTATATCCACTCACGTTATTTCTAGGGGAAACTTTGTAACGACAGACATCCAATAATGTTATTTGTCCATTTAAATAAACTCACTTTGTTCAAGTGGAGGTTGTGTATTTTGGCCTTTCTTCAATTTATTTAATGTTTAATGAGCTGCCTTGATGGATTGTGGGCAATAAAATATTGACAAGAATCTGTTTGACTACCAAAATAATTTTTCGATTTAAAGCTTTCGTGACTGCAGGGATTCATCTTCTTGGTTATTTCGGTAAAGTCACGTAGAAGATCTGTTTCTTCACCTGAGGACGGCTGCTTGTGTTGTGGCCGAAACGTCGTGAGAATTTGTATTTTATTATGTAATATTTTGATTATTTTATTATTTCCCTTCTACGTGACTTTACCAAAATAATCATAAATAAAAAATGTAGGTTGTCTATTGACATGCTGAACCAATTTTTGTTCTAGCAAAATTTGTTTAAACCGCAAACACTGTTCTATGTGTGAATGAGCGATGTTCAGTCGAGGCTTTTAATTAAACATTGAACAACTTCTACACAGTAAGCAATTAAACAGTTATAATACCACTTTAGGGTTGGAAATGTGTGGCACATTCAAAGGTCAGTTGATGGCAATGCACATTCTGCAGTTATACCTCGGGTAACGAAGTAGATAAGTTCCATGCTGTCACTTCTTTATTAGAAGCCTTCGTTACCGGAGGTAAATATAACATGGGAGGCACAGCAATGCGCTCCATGACTTCAGAGAAGGGGGGTACAATCGGAAAACATTGCTGCACAGCAGCATTCACTTTGTCCGCTTGGTTTAAAGTGGTCTTTAAGGTGGACTGCGCTAACCCTAACAGACGCACCACTTCACTCTTCATCTCTTCTGCCTCTACCCTCCTTATAATCTGCATTTTCGTTTCCAAAGAGATGGATTTATGCTATTCTTGCCCAGTAAGATCATCAGCACTGGATGGTTGGTTGGCTGACATAACGGGGGGTAGTAAAATAACTTTATCACTGCAAAAAACACGATAACATTTTACCAACACGAGGAGCTTGGGAAATAGCAGGCGGGAAAGGGAGACCCTGAAGCTCTTCGCTGATTTACTGATATCATTTTTACGAAAACAAACCCGATTCGGTTGTCTTTACATGGCCTGCGCAGCTATTCAACCGTTTCTCTTCTTAATCGATTTGCATCATTCCCGAATATATTTTGTATTTTTTTGTTGTGGCAAAAACAGGGGGGCGAAGGGGCCTCCCTTGGCCAACTTTGTTCCCAGAGAATTTCGTGAACAGAGGTATGACTATTTCACGGAAAGATTTCTCGTACCGACGTGATTGACTGCTAATAGAGAGCAATGGAAACGGATGCTGATCGTTCACTTGCCTTCAAGCGGATGCCAGGGATGGTGCTCAGGACTGGCCAGGGTTTGGTAGAGGTAACTTGTTCCATAGATGGCATCCTCTATTGGAGTCCACATGTTGTATGTGGGTTTATTCACTGCGTCAATCAGCCCGCTCACTGCATCTGTGATGGTACACGTGTAATATTACACGACTACAAATGCACACACCATGTTTACATTGTTACCTGCATT